GTGTGTGTGTGTGTGTGTGTCTCTCGTTAATGATTGCATCCTAAACAGCTGTGAGATCAAAGGCAAATCACTGACCTACTGTTTGACTGAGAGGTGCTGAACTGCTGAGGATTTATAGCCTCTGAACTTCTTCACATAGCGTGATTTCCTTAAATCCCAGAATGAAAATAAGAACATCGTACGAATCCTCCGCCCTTCATGAACACAATGATGTGTTTTTCATGTCTGTACTCCGACAAATGTGGCCACAACAGCGAGTTAAAAAAGTCTGAGCCTCAGTGGGGATAAGGATTTTCTTGGAGAAGAAATACATTAGGTCTAATGGGGAGAGATTTCCGCCTATTTGGACAGTTGGTCACCTGCTGGCCAAGGGGTAAGATTTAATGATTTGAAACCTCTTTTGTGAGAAGCAGGACACATATACCTCCATTTTGATGTATTTTTTATGGGTGTGGATTGAGATTTGTGAGCGTGGGAGCGATATATTCGAGCGAGGTTCTGTCGATCAGAGATGAGCTCTGCACTCTAGCTGATGACATCATCACTCTAAACTCTCCAATACACACCCATTATAAAGCCTGAAAATTAGCTGAAAACCACAAGTTGCTTAAAGCTACATTGTGGAAGAACTGTAGAAGATATCAAAAAACTGAGTACAACTGTAGTAGTCGACAATTGAGTGAACATTTTAAAGCAAAAATGAGGTCTCTAGGTGAAAGTATGCTGAAGTTATAAGGCTTTGAAGGTGGAAGAGTAAAAGGTAGAATTTTAAGATTTCCCCATTCATTTCAAATGGTACAAATTTTGCACAAAAAGTTTAAAAAAAACAAAAAGTATAAAGGGTAGAAAGGTAAAAAATACAAGCCCTCATGTCCTGAAGGAGTGGAATAGTTTAAAGTTTGAACGGTTTAAATAGCACAAAATTTGAAGGAGGAGAAAGCGGACAAAAATTGGCGGAAGAATAATAACTAGAAAATGCAATTTCTGAAGAAATTGCGAGTGGGATTGCTTCAGTTGAAATTGCTATCGCTAAGCTGCTATTGCGAATGGCTGAATTTTAAAAATTAGTGAAAGGTCAAAAGGTATGAAGTATCAGGAAGATTTGAATCAGTTTGAATAAACTCTGTTGAATGAATTGAATAATGCATGAATAATAATTTTAAAAATTCAACATGTGAAAATTAAAATGATTAAAAACCCTGAAATATGGGAAATGCTTGAATAATCAATAAGGTTTGAATCAGTTTAAATGAGCTGTAATTTGTTTGAAAGAACTGAATAATGCATTAAGAGTAAAAAATATTTAAAAGTGGAAAATTAAAAGGTTACAAATCTGGAAGAAAAAGAGGTTTGAAGAATCAAAACGGTTTGAATCAGTTTGAAGAACTAACTAGAAAATGCAATTTCTGAAGAAATTGCGAGTGGGATTGCTTCAGTTGAAATTGCTATCGCTATGCTGCTATTGCGAATGGCTGAATTTTAAAATATGTGAAAGGTCAAAAGGTATGAAGTATCAGGAAGATTTGAATCAATTGGAATAAACTCAATTGAATGAATTGAATAATGCATGAATAACAATTTTAGAAAATTCAACAGCTGAAAATTAAAATGATTAAAAACCCTGAAGTATGGGAAAGGCTTGAAGAACCAATAAGTTTTGAATCAGTTTAAATGAGTTGGAATTTGTTTGAAAGAACTGAATAATGTATTAAGAGTAAAAAATATTTAAAACTGGAGAATTAAAAGGTTACAAATCTGGAAGAAAAAGAGGTTTGAAGAATCAAAACGGTTTAAATCAGTTTGGAGGAAATAAATTAGTTTGAAGAGTTAAATAATGCATTTTCAATGAATGATTGAAAAATGGGGACAATGTAAATGAAAAAAAATCCTGATTTGACCCCATAATGTCCTCAATGAGCTGAATTTATTAAGCCCTGGATGGTTTCTGTAGCTCAAGGTTTGTGCGAAGAGATAGATGACAAATTTCGTCAAATAACTCTATTGAAGGGTTTTAAATGTAACCCCCAGTACTCTGTGTACTGAGCCTGGCTTCATGTGTCTCATATGGCTGTTAGAAGCAGCTTTCCAGCCAGCTGTGTGTCTCCAGGTGCTGCCTTTGGTTGCCATGGTGACGATAGATGCTTAACAACAGCAGGAGAAAGGAGGCTTGAGGCTGAGAATGTAATGCCCAAACAACGTCATATTTCTCATCCTCTGTAACTGCTATCTCCATGATCAGGAGCTTGTGGGAACCACAAGACCCGGCTGAACACGTTGATACAACTTCTGTGTCTGTGGAGCCAAAAATGCCTTCACTACGACGAGTTAAAAACATGTCCAGTTTGTGTTTCCTCTGAAAATCCTCCTCTCAGGTTTATATTGGAGTCAATGGAGAAAGCTGGAGAAATCTGGGGGATGTCTGCGGCAGTTGGTGTCTGCCCAGGCCACTGTGTGTGTCCTATGGCTTTGATTTTTTGGATGAAGAGTGACAGCGAGTTTTGCCATCACTGTACCAAATTTTATCTGTGTAGAGCGAAGTGAGTTGCCACAATCCTTTTGTAAAGACAAAGTTTTGAGGATCAATTTTCTGCCTGTCTCACTCTAGCTGTGAGGTCACCCACTCTAGCGGCCAACATTCCGTGCAATACACACTAATGTTAAAACCTGAACCGGTCGGAAAATCTTTGGACTTTTTGAACTGTCACTGTGAGAAAAGTATGAATGCCATGAAGATGGTGAATGAATGAGTGAATGTCTGAAGATGTGTGAATATTTTAAAGTTTGAATGAAGTTTCTAGGTGAAAGTATGAATGAATGAGAAGAGGTTGAAGTTGACTACGTCTGAAGCCCTTTTCCCATTGACTGCCATTATAATGAAGTTTTAAACAAATCTTAATATTTTGAAAAGTACAAATGGGATTAAAAATGTTGAAGATGTGGAATAATGCTGACGAATTTGTGAATATTTTGGTTTTTGAATGAAGTTTCTATGTGGAAGTATAGAGGAGTTGAAGGCTGAAGGAAGTTGTGTGAAGAAAATGTGAGAAAAGGGCCAATTTGAACATTCCGTAATGCATTTCTAATGGGAGAAATCGGTCGGAAAACCTGGAATATCTCGGAAAGTATGAATGTTTGGAAATTTTTGAATACAAGCCGGAATCTCCTCAATGAGATGAATCTTTTGAAGTTTGAATGGTTTGAATACGTTGAAGTATGTGGAAGGAGTAGCGGTCCAAAAAACGGTGGAATAATAATAATATGAACTAGAAAAGTTGCATTTCCTTGCAGAAAATGCGTGGAAATGCTGAGTGCTGAAAGCTGAAAAAGCAATGAAAAACTGCTAAAAAAAAATGGAGAAAGGTATACATGTAAAGGTTGTTGAAGGGGTGAAGAAAAATATAACTTAAATAATTGAGAAAATGGAGGATAAGTAGCATGAATATGCTCCTCAAATTGAAATTTGATTCATGCTGAAAGAGACTGGAAAAATTTCTACAATTGCACAAAGTTTCAATGAAGAAGTAAATTACCTTAAAAGGCAGGTAAGTGAGAAGTGGCATAAGTTTAAGTTGGAGTACTACAAGTAGTATGATAATAGGTAGTTGTAGTAGTGATATTAGTAGTCATGTAAGCAGTAGAAGTAGTTTTAGATTAGAGGAAGTAAAAGTCAAAGTAGTAAAGCTCGTGGTAGAAGTAATAGAGGCAGTAAAAGTTAGAGACGCAGTAAAAAAATATTTAAAGAAGCAATAGTAGTGGAGGTAGAAGTGAAGATACAAGTTAAAGTCTCCACAAAGCCTGTGAAGCTCTGCATTGTCTTTTTCTGGGTGTTTGAGTTGCAGAGTGTCATACAGAGATTTGGAGGATGACACACAGAGTGCGTAATTGTGATGGAGGCTAGAGTGTACTTCTGTCCAACAGCTGCTGGTACACAAGTGTCATGGCAGTGAGAGAGAGATTTGTTCGTATTAATATAAAGTGTTATAAAATAAAGATGAAGAAAAGAGTTTTGTGAAAAAGCCAGCAACGCCTGACTTTAAGTGTCACAAGCTGACAGTGAAGGACCCAGATGCAAACAAGCAAGTTAATGTGTTTGTTGAAGACAAGAAAAGACAGACCGCGCTGCATAAAGCGGGTCTCGAACCCACGATTGTCGAGGGATAGTCGGCCGCTTTAGCGATCGGCCACATTGGTGTTGTTTATAAGTATGATCCCGGCAGTAACTTTAAATTCGCTGAAGTCTCCTGGGCTGTAAACCTCGATGCCGGCCTGTACGCCGGGGCCCAAACCTTCACAACACATACAGATGATGTGTCCTTTCCGACACGTGAACAACAGTCAGGGATCACACAATCGGCGAGTCGGGGGCAGACAACACTTCAGGGAAACAGGAGACTCACAGACAGCCAGCTCGCTGTCAGGGACGGAAGGTGCCCTGACCTTTTATTTTTGACTCTTCCCGTCACTGTTTGAGAACAACTTTGTGAACATGTGGGCCGCTGTGCCAGTTTTACTAAACTTTATAGCTACTGATACAGGCTCTGAGTTGATAGACATAGTTAAAGTGGGTGACAAATCATGCGGTCGCTATCCGTGGTGCTGAACTGCTTTGAAGTGGTGTAGTGTAGCCTAATGTTTTTGTTGTTTGTTGTGGACTTCATGATGACAGTCGCTCTTTGTGGTACTGAAGCTTGTAAGTCCCGCTGTTGCGGGCATGTGTATGTTGTAAAATGATGTTATCAGGAGCTTTATTATGGGGGTTTAAAGGGCCTAAAAGCCGCTCATTCAGTCCCTTTTGATCTGTCACGTGAATTGTTATCAAGTGAATTAGTCAATAGGCTATAAGGGCCCACTACAAGCCCCCGACTGCGGCAGCGGATTGCAAATATGATATTAGCTTTAATCATGTCCCTAAAGACATTAGTGTCCGAGAGCTGAATAGCTCCTATGTGACCTGCCACTTCTGCAGCACCGGCAATGCAGCGCTGTCTCCACAACTCAGTGCACAAGACAAAACACTAATATCCGAAACAAACATATACCGTCACGAACAATCTACTATCCATTCATTCATTCCTTCATTCATTCGTTTGTTTGTTCGTTTGATGAGCTTGAGTAAGCGATCCTACCTCCACATCAGTTGGTGGCGCTACTGCATGAGTTTGTTGTCTACCAACCACCATAATAAACCGTTGAAGAAGAAGAAGACTTTTGCGCGTCCACGCTGGTCGTTTTACTGTACGCGGAGGCAGGCGGACTGCGTGTACATGAGTTAAAGGTGAGTCTGATTATACATTATCAAATCTTTTTACATATTTCCAGGTGTGAAGGTATGGTTAAGGAATGGAAGAGTTATTTCGCTCTAAATTCTGTAAGTTATAATGTCGTATAATTATAATGTATAATATAATGTCAACATCGCTATCAAGGTAATAGAACAGGGGTGGGCAATCATGTGCCATGGAGGGCCGAGAGGCTGCAGGTTTTCTTTCCAACCCAAAACTCCACCAGGTAATTTCACTGAGTACCTTACCGCCAAGCTAATCAGTGAAATCACCTGGGGGAGTTTTGAGTTGGAAAGAAAACCTGCAGCCTCTTGGCCCTCCATGGCACGATGGCCACCCCTGTAATAGAAGCTTCCATGCAGGAACGTGAGACTGAACCCTTCCACCTGTTATCCAACGAAATACACTGTTTTGAAATTATAATGTAACAGAGTATGCAGAAATGAAAAATGTCCTCAAATAAATACATTTCTTCCAATTTAATTTTTAACATATAACATTTTGAACAGAAAAATAACATTAAAACAATTGAAACGAATTCTTAATACATTTGATATATATATGTATATATAACAATTACGATTTCTTAACAAAGTTATGTGTGTGTGTGTGTATGTGTGTGTGTGTGTGTCTGTGAGGGAACTATTTACAATGAAAATGTAATTCTTCAAATTAATTTTATTTTAACAATATTTCTGCCTGATACAATGGCTGTGCATTTTAAGGGGCCCTCTAGGAGGGCCTCATCGAAGTTGGGCCCCCACAAATCTTTTAAAATTAGGAGGGTCTCCCCATTTTCCTGCAGGACCTCTAACATTTCTGGGCCGCTGCTGGAGGTGGCCCCTCCCTCATCAAGGACACCAACAATGGTGAGCTCCACCTCGGTCTGATGCTGCTTCTGTTGACAAATAAGACAAACACAGGTAAGGAATCAGGTGATTTGTATTATGTTGTTTTTTCTGTAACAATGGCCCAATATTGATTAATATTGTGAGTAGCATTGTCCTGAGGCCCTGCCCATCCTGGCACAAGAGGAAATGGTTCAGATGTGAGACCGGGTACAAAAGTGTCAATACACTGAAATCTTCCCTGCCATTAATTAAGTGCCCCTCACGTGGATGGCTATACACAAGCAGACAAAATTGTTGGCACCTTTCTTTTAAAATAAGCTAGACCAACAAAGCTCAAGAAATGACTAGAAACTAACAGAAATAAGAATGAAATATAATAAACAGAAAATTAACCATTGAAAATGTGACATTGGATTTGAATTTTGGTTTAACAGAACTACTTTTAAAAAGCAAATGTATGAAACTGACATATCCAAACACACTTTAAAACAAAACAAAAAAATTGACAAAACTGGCCTGAACAAAATTGATGGTACCTTTAACTTTATACTACGTTGCACAACCTTTTGAGGCGATTACTGCATTCAAGTGATTTCTGTAACTCTTAGAGAGACCTGTGCACCTGTCCACAGGTGTTTTGGCCCACTCCTGATGTGCAAACACTTCCAGTGGTGTAAGGTTTGAAGAGTGTCATCTCCAGACTGCATGTTTCAGCTCCTTCCACAGACGTTCAATTGTGTTTCGGTGGGAGTTTTTCTTTCTTTAACATAAGGGTGCCAACAATTTTGTTCATGCGTGTGTATCTTTATATCAACTGTCGATTAATTAAGTAGTTTTTAAACCTAGTTGCGTTTTTGTGATTCTGTAAGCTACCAATTGTAAGGGAAGAAAGGGTTATATTTTTCAAAAAGTGTCTTTACCTGAAAACAATGACAACAACAAATTACCTTAAGTTTTGTAAAATTGGTGGAGTTGAGCTGGAGCCCATACTCCGTTTTGAGTGACTTCATATGAGTCACTCTCACCGTCTCACCCACAGCAAGGGGCTGCACAGCTGCCTCCCTCCACAGGGAGACCCTGACAGTGGTTTTGCCCTGTAAAATGTAAGGGAACACCTTATTGTCTGCAGTCACAATACATATGACACTACAAAATACCATAGGCTCTTGTCTCATTTAAGTCAGTGGGGCTGAGCAGATGCACGGTGCTAAACTAAGCAATAATTTATGAGAAAGATAAGATAAGAAGAACTTTATCGACCCCCAAGGGGAAATTTGATAACAAATCAGCATCATTTGATAATTTATTGAGTGTGAACTAATCACATGAATTCAAAGTGACATGCTCATTTGTGTAGAGTGAGAAACAGGCTGAATGACAGATCTGCATAAATTCAAGTGTTATTTCATCATGATTCATACATTGCGCAAATGTTATTAAGCATACAATATTTCACAAAAGTGGGAGCACCCCTCACATTTCTGCAAATATTTAATTATATATTTTCATGTCATTTCTAAAGAGATGACACTTTGACACAATGTACAGTAGTCAGTGTACAGGTTGTGTAACAGTTCATTAAGTGACTTGTATGACCTTCTTTCTTAAACAGAAGGATACCAACAATTTTCACAGCTGCAGTTACCTGCTTCAGGGTAAGTTTTCGGAGAGGCACAGCCTCTCTCCCCGACTCCACCTTTCGCACAGCCGATATCTAAACAAAAAAGGTTCTGTATTTAGTAAGCTATATATCTGAGAATGCAATTTTATCTTGTTATTTGTGATGGTTTTAATTTCCTAGATACGTGGCTGTACCATAGTAGCTTATACTGACCTCAGTAATCACCCCCTCGATTGATATCAGGCCCTGCTGCTCCCGGCACTGACTGAGCTCCACCAGTGGCGAGGCCGGGTGCAGCGAGGCCTCTGCTCTCGCAGTGAGTTCAGCGGGGCAGGCAATTTTACTGCCCTTGAAAAATTGCGTCCCACCTCCAACATTAATGATGAGCGGTGGGGACTTTCCCACCAGGGTGTGGCCCCTCATGAAGTAGGCCCCCCCCTCTACCACTTTATCTGCCGCTGCCTCAAACAGTGTTATTTTGGCCAGGGATTCGCCATCACTGATAATGGCCGTTTTGTTCATTTTTGTGCAGGTGGGGGTTACTGAGGACTCCCCAAATGACCACGACACCACTCTCGGGGTGTCCTCAATTTTTAGAAAAACCACGTGGAGGGGCGGTAGTTTGACATACGGGGAGGCTGGCCTGGAATCGAGGAGTTTTCTCAGTGCCATTCTGCAACAAAAAAGGGTAAACATGTTCAGTATTTTTCTCTCATTTCATCCCCCCCTTCTCCTCCTTTCTTCTCTCCATCTTCCCCCTTCCGTATCTCTCTACCCCCCTTCTCCGCCTTCCCTCTCGCTGTCTTCCCCCCTCCCTTCCTCTCTCCCTAGTCCTCTTCCCATCCCTCCCTCCCTTTCCTATGTATGTATGTGTGTAACTTGTTTATTTATTTATTAACTTATTTATTAATTTATTAACCTATTTATCTTTTTATTAACTTATTTATTAACTTATTTTTCTTTTTATTAACTTATTTATTTATTTATTAACTTATTTATTTATTAACTTATTTATTTATTTATTCATTCATTTATTTAGTTATTAATTTAATAGTTTAAATAAGTTCAGTATTAATGTACAATGTTGAAAAAATTACAGAATTAAAGCACTGAATGAGAAGTTGCTAAGCAAAATTTGGTTTTGTGTCCTTTATTCCTAGAAAGCATCTATCTTTACAGCCGTGTGTAATCAACTCAGAGAGGGCTGGGTGGTGGGGTTGAGGGTTGGGTGTTCTCGTCACGTGACCTTACGCTTTAGCATACACATCAGGCACTAGGACCAAACGGCCGCTGAAGCCAAAAACTGGTTTCCCTCGGTTTGGACCGCCCACAAGGTCCTTGATTGGCTCTTCCGCGGGGCCGCTTTTTGTGTGTGATTGGCTATCCCTGCTGGACTAGTGATTTGTCAGTTGCTGGGAAGAGTTAGTCCATGAACTCTTCGCCCATTCGCTAATCGCCGATGGCGTTCATTTTCCCTTCGTAACTTCACATTCATCGGAGGTTTCATTTACATTCCCGTATACATCCCCGGTTTGTGCTTCCATCCACCCGCTGGCCGTATTGCCCCCTCTGTTACTGTGTGTGCGAGATGTGCTGTTTGTTAGGCTATATGTGAAGGCGGGAACTGTATTCTGGATCCTCGTTCGTGTTAACTATTGCCTATACCTTAGGTTATGACAAATCTGCTCTCCTTAATCAAATTTCACCAGTTAACTAATTTCAAACAAACTCAAAATAAACGAACTTGAAGTATTTCCTTATATTTCTGTAGGTTACTTTTGTTTTTCGTCGTCCTCTTCGTCTTTTGTGAATGATAAAAATGTCTCCTACGGTTCTACTATTTTCGCGCCTATAGTTTTCTTTACAAAGGATAATAGCCATCATTCCGTGACGTCCTGCCCCCCCCCCCCCATTTTAATCTCTGTACATTGCTATTTAATCGTTTAATATGTTCAGTATCAGTCTACCATGTTAAAATGGATCAAATCTTAGAATAATTTAACCATTGAATGAGAAGTTGTCCAAAATGGTGACCGGTATGAACTCCGTGTGAACTCTCATTCATGCTAGGTATATACCTTACCGGTAGAGTCATACTCTCAAACCTGCTCTCCTTAAAATAACAACTAAATTATACCTGCGAACTTATATAAAACAATATAAAAATGAAATTTGTGACACAAAATTAACGAGCTCGGAGTAAGCTATCGCTTTATATTTGTTTCACCCACTTGAATCGTGGATCTCCTCTCTGTCCTGTCGTCTTCTGTTAGAGCAACTGACCACTGTCTCTTCCTGTTGTTTTCGCGCCAGTTGTTTACCTCACAAACAATAGCCGATGACCAGCTAGTGACTTCCTGCTTCCCTTCCCTCTGTCTTTTATATATCTATTGAATATAATATATTGAATATACATATTTTTAAAACGTTCGTTAGTAATCTAAAATGTGAAAAAAAGATATATATATTTAAAAAAAAACTATTTAAAAAGAAGCTTTTTCAATTTTTTGACTGATGCGGTATGTACAATACATTTCCCGTTCGTCGTTCTTCTGCCCTTTCTGGCCAAACAGACAATTTCCGAGCTGAAAGACATGTTATTTATTGTCTCTGGCTAGTGCTACTCGCTACTGGTGTGTCAGTTTGTTGTTCTTTGTGCATCATGTTATCAGTATGAGAAAATCCACATAGTGACATTGTGCATTATAATTTGCAATATGCTTTTCGTTCACGTGAGAGCGGTAATTACACTGATTCAGTGTTACTTCAACCTACAGTGCGTTGCTGCTGAAAAATATGGAATCATTCTTTCAAGTGAAAATGACGGTATCAAACTCATAAGGGCTTAATGCGTGAATCAGGATTCCCACGCGTACTGGAAAATCTGGAAAACAGCTGTCCAGTTTTCCAGTACTGGAAAATGGGTGAAATGGAAAACCAAGTACTGTTATTGTCCAGTAAAATTATTCTAACGAGACTAGTGCCTCAAAACTATAACTGCAGGCTGCAGGCTTTCCGTATTTTAGCTACATCGGTGCATTTAAATTCTTTTTGTAGTGCCATGTTTTCTTATTTGGAGCTCCAGCCAGCCTAGTTTGTCCCCAAAATGCATATGCAGTTAAGTGTTGATAAAATAATTATTGTTTTTAATTTTTTTGACTCAAATCTCTTAAACAACTTCAGCCCTGACCATTAAAAATAATAAATAAAAAAGTTTGCTGTATCACCCTTTTTATGCCAGTTTTTGTGCGCCATGACATAAGACTTGAACATAAGACATGCATTTATTGATAAAGTGTGCGTTCTAAATAGGTGAGTCTGTTTGAGCGGAAAAGCACACCAATTTCACCTTTTCTCAAGCCTCGTCCTCTACCAAATCGAATGTGGTCGAATTCATTTGTTCACATTAGATTACTTTAAGCGATGGGCATATAACAATCACAAGACATTTGTAAGACAGGAATCATAAGTGGTTATCCATCTCTAACCAAAATAGGACCGTGATTACTCTGATTGCGCGCATGTAAAAAATAACTGCATACTTGAGATGTGATATGTTCTCACCTAATGATCCGAAGGACCTGTGCATCCTCACGCGTATCCATCCACTTGCTCCGAAGTGAGGGCAAAGTTGAAATTGTCCAAATGTCCCCCTCTCTTACTCCCACACTGCAGAGCTTGGACGTTGGATTATCGACTGTAAAAACTCCGCTCACGGCATGCCCGGGTACAAACATGGACGCAGATTCGCACCTGTGCATACGCAGGAGCACACAAACTTTTCCCTACACACGTAGCCCACTCTTAGACGTCCATACCTAGTGGCATGTAAAGCTTCATTCAATTCTGATGTTCGGTGGATGAAATAGCTGTTCAAACACTCTCAGCCCATGATTGAAATGTGTCAGGGCATGGAGAGCCTGGAGCCCGGGGAGGAGATGTGGAGGCCGGGGGTGGAGAGCCTGGAGCCCGGGGAGGAAATGTGGAGCGCCTGGAGCCCGGGGAGGTGATGTGAAGGCCGGGCTTGGAGAGCCTGGAGGCATGGCATGGAGAGCTTGGAGCCCGGGGAAGAGGTGTGGAGGCCGGGCATGGAGAGCCTGGAGCCGAGGGGAAGAGAGCCCGGAGGCCCCCTACATGCAATTGAACGTGGCGCACCGCCACGGCTAAAAAAAAGCTGCCACACCTTTTAAAATTAGGTGCTTTCTTACATGGCTCTATCTTGGACTCATGTGTATATACATACGTGCACGCGCCTAGTATTAGGATTTGTGAGTTATTGTCGGCGTTGTCACTGCTGATTCATTACCCCCCAACCCCCCCCAACCCCCATTAATCAATTTAAACCGTACGCATTTCAACCTTCCAAGCACCTTGCGCGGCTGCGCATTTCTACTCGGAAAGCCTGATTCATGAAGGTATTTCAGGCATTTCTGTAGTTTTTCGATAATTTGTGGCGAATCAAATCATCAAACCTGCCTGCCTCTTACAGGCTAACAAAGCGCTCGGATTCATGCTCTGATCTTACTACGTGCTTCGCGTGAAAAGTGAACAGTGATTGAGGCAGAGACCAGCTTCAGAGGAGAAACATCCAGCAGAGTGAACAACCTCTTCATATTGAGTGATTTGGCTCACACTCTTGGCGTTTTCTGTGACTCTTGCATGACTTTGGGTGAGCACAGACATGAACACACTGTCAGACAATTATTGATTTATTTAGTTTTTAGGTTTTAGCTTTTAGTGCTGCTTTTTTTACTGGCACTATTCTGGGGCAGCTGTATACCCTTTCAACACTTTATTTTTTATATTTACAGTTGTATTGAATGGACACTTTATCATGACTGCCACTTGTTTTACAGAAAGCAAATAGATTCTTATTCTCCAGTGCAGAGCCTTTACTTTTATTGATACAGCCGGTTTATTACAGTTGAGTTTGTGTGATCAAGGTTTTCAGAAATGTGATGACGGTTCAGAGAGATAAAAGAGACAGAGAGAGCTTATACATTTTTTTGAGAGCTTATGAATTTTGTTTATATCTGTTACAGAGGCTGAGATATCAGCTTTTTTATAAACCTCAAAACTTCAGAAAACCTCAGGATCTGGGGGCCCTTCTCAAAGTTGTCCTTTCAGAGGCGTGTCTCAGACAGGGTTTAGGTCTTAATGGTTTAAGTTATCTTCAGCGAACTCACCGCTAATTCATAACCCCCACGAATTCGCGCAACGCCCACCCACCACCACCACCCCCGCACCGCAACGCAAATTCACACATAGATTCCAGCCCTAGAGGAAACACTGTATGTGCTTGCTAAATGTGTTGTATCACTGTCGGAAAGTAAAGTATCTATCTATCTATCTATCTATCTATCTATCTTTTGATAAGACTGAGTGAGCGTCGCAATACTCACTCCACATCAATTGGTGGCGCTAGTGCGCCAATTTGTTGTTTGTCAACCACCAAAGTAACCCAATGAAGAAGAAGAACACCTTTGCGCATGCAGCCCGCACAGATCGTTATCTGCGGACAGAAGAGGACCGCTTGTGCATGACTCAAAGGTACGTCTGATTATGCAAAATATGTTTTTCTTTTTTACATATTTCCATATGTGAAGGTATACAACAGTTATTTTGCTCTTAATTATGTAAGTTATGATATAATTAGGTAGTTTTTCTAACATCGCTAACAAGCTAATTCTGGGCTCCCACGCTTCCTGAAAAACGGCTCACCAGTACTGCAAAACTCATGGAAAATGGGAGAAAAAGTGAAATGTCCTGGAAAATCACGTTTTGTCCTGGAAAATTATTCTAACCGGACTACAAAAGCGTCCAATCTGTCAACATTGGTCGGGCAGAGAGCTTGGGGGTCTGTGCTACAAAACTTTCCCTGCAGGCTCCGAGCTCAATTACCGTACTGTAGCTAGTAGCAGTGCAAACTCCCGAGAGTGAAAACAAACGGGGGGGAGGAATGGGACAAAAAGAGCGACACAGCTGCACAGAAACTGCACTAGGTAGACCTCTGTGATCAAGATGTAGACATCGCCACGCAAGAAGACTGTTCTTTTTTAAACCTCTGAGTTTACGGTAATGTTATTGTTATTGTCATTTTAGCTTGCGCTCAATCGCTCTTGTCTGTCTTTCTTGCTAACTGAGCTGGGGTCGCACTTCCAAGTCTGTGTTCCGCTCTGAGCCCAGCGAAAGTGAGAGTGAAATACAACCTTCTCATACCTTAGACAAACGCCAATTCACAACAGTATTTATAGATCTGTAACATATAAAACATGATGCGTTAATAATATGCATGCACAATGAATAGGACCCATCAGTGTAAATCAAATAGCACAATAACAGACCACTTGGCTGGATGAATGTTGATAAATGAGGTTTGTTTTGTGTTTAGTTCAGAAAAAATGTAAGGCCATTTTTGTCATTTAGTTCTATTAAGGTAAATTTATGCACTTTGATTCAATTTATCCTCGGATGTTTATTATTATTATTATTTATTTCAGAAAGACAGCTTCCAGATTCCTTTGCTGGCTCTTTTGTTTTTTACTTAGTTAATTTTCTATATATTTTTTTTTAGGAAAGAAAAGGCTGAGATGTTCATTGTTACTTGGTTGCATAAAGTGAGGTGCTGTTCATCTGTGGATGCATTATTCTATAATCTGTTTGCCGTAATTTTTAAGTATGTAAGAGGTGATTTCATAGGTAGCCACAGACTGCACGCCTTTCAATGAAGATGCTTACTGAGAGGAACATAGACTATTTAGGAACTAACTTTAGACTGTCATACCAGGTTGAACACCACCGAAAATGTCCTGGAAAATGATCTCTGGAAAAGAGTGGGAACCCTGTAATTGTAGCCTCCAGGCAGCATCATCAGGCTGAACGCCTGTTATCAAACAAAATAAACCGTTTTGTAATTATAATGTAACAGAGTATGCAGAGACGAAAATGTTCTCAAATAAATACATTTCTGTAACAAACAGATTTATCTTTGGAAACAATTCTCTTTACAATACCAAAGTGTGTGTGTGTATCTTAAGCAGATGCATGTTGGTAAAAGTAATGTATGAGAAACCAAGCTGATTTAGTCACATCAATGCATGCATGAACTGACTGTGAATTAGCATTATTTCATGATCTATTGAGTGTGGAATAATCACATGAATTCAAAGTGACAGGCTCATTTGTGTTGAGTGAAAAAAAAGCATCAATGACACATCTGCATTAATGCAAGTATTATTTCATCAGGATTTATGCATTACATAGATGTTATTCAGCATATATTCATACACAGACTTATTTATTGTTTTATTACTTTTGTCATTTTTAGATCATTTCAGTGACTTATGTAACATTTTCTGTCCTAAACAGAGGGGTACCAGCAATTTTCGAGCTGCAGTTACCCGCTGCAGGACAAGCTTCCTCAGAGGCACAGCCTCTTTCCCTGACTCGACTTTTCTCACAGCAGACAGCCATACAGGAGGATATTTTGTATTTGGTAATTTATTTAATTAAAAATATATATTTTTTTCTTGTGATTTGTGATGTTTTTAATTTCCCAGATCAATACTGACCTCTTCAACCTCTCCCTCTAACGACATCAGGCCCTGATGCTCTTGGTACTGACCCAGTGCTACCTGTGGTGAGGCCGGATGCAGTAGAGTCTCTGCTCTTACCTGAAGTTCCGCAGGGCAGTGAATTTTGCTGCCCTGGAAAAACAGTGTCCCGCGCCCAACATTATTTGTAAAAGGAGGCAACTTTCCCATCAGGGTGTGGCCCTGCATGTGATAGGCTTCCCCCGCGGGCACTGGTAAGGCATTTGGTTGTCTGCCTGTATGATATTCATTTTTTAACCCTTTAAGGGCCAATTTAAGACATAAAGTCACTAATATAGCAAAAAAAATGGAAGGAAAATGACCTAAAAAAAACTGCATTGATGAAGTGATTCTATAAGTGCATTCTCTTTCACTAACAGCAACACTAACCAACATCAGTACCATGTAAAAAATCACCAGCTTCAGATTATGTGTTATAATAAAAATAGGTCATTTTCCTTCAATTTTTTGCTATATTAGTGACTTTATGTCTTAAATTGGCCCTTAAAGGGTTAAAAGAATTATTTTCAATTAAACATTAGCTAGTTTTTAACAGGTCAGAAGTAAAATAAGAGATGTATTAAAAAAATCTGAAAAAAATATTAATCCAATATGATTTTACAGCAAACAGTAGTAGTAGTAGTTGTTGTTGTTTTAGTTTTATAAGTTGATAATATATTCTTTCTCTCTCAGCCATCACCTGTGGAGCCCTGGGTTGCTGGCTTGCTGAGCCCTTTCTTTCGGTAGGTAGTGCTAAATTTAAAATACTAATTTAAGTGGCATGTTTCCATGACCGATTTATTGATTTCTTTATTTGTTTTGCAGTGCCCAGCCCGTCCTCACCGCTGCCCCTGATACCAGGCTGCTGTGTTGGCTGTTTTGCCATAATTTGAGTTTCTTTATTTTAAGTCTTTAAAGTTTACTCTTTCCTTCTGTAAACTCTTTGCTTGAGTCTTTGTTTTTTCTCTTTTGTTAAGTTCTGGTTTTCTTACTTAATTTCTCCCTGGGAATACAGGTGCCTTTAGATAGCTAACCCTGATGATAATATTAATAAAAAAAAAAAAAAAAAACCAAACAACAAAAATCTTTGCATGGGTGACCACTGTGTGTTTTAAGCTTGAGGTTTCAATATTGTAGTTGCTGTGATTCTTGATGAATAAAGGTATCACAATTTCAGTGGTTTCTAATATTCTTCAGCCCAATCATTAAAGGCTCTTCACATGGTGGTTAGACTGAGGCTAACACCCCATTACTAACTGGATTCAAACTCCAGCAGCCCTGGACCCACATTCACCTCTTTTCTTGTGTTTTTGGATTACTAAGCCTTAAAAGTTGGCTCATAAAATTTGTCATGGCCCATGAAGCCAAGTCCTGTGTTGTGGGCTTTGAAAACAGACCTTGAAATTTGACTTCAAAGTCTGATACAGGACTGTTATGCGTGTTTTTAAGGGTTTAGATTAGCCTAAGACTAAGTTTGCACAGCTGAAAAACCTTTATTATACCTATACATTAAAAAAATATATGAAAATGGTGACTTGAGAGTTATTAAAAAAATAGTTACTAAAATCGGTCAGCAGTATAACAACATAAATGTGAAACACAACAAGTATAGAATAAATGTAAAATAATGTGAAGGGTAAGGTAAAGAATGCAAATGCAAATAATGCAAAGTTATCCAGGCTTGTGGAAATATACAGGCAAAGGCTTATGAATTAAATATGGCATTTTTGTATTTTTTTAAAGATAACTGCAGTGAAATGTGGGCCCTCTCGTAGAAAAAAAAGAAAATTATAGTATAATAATGGTAATAAATAATTATAATAATAAATAAAGTTAAATGATATGAAACTGAAACTTTAAACAAAATCTAAAATGATCGGATTAAAAAGTAGATTTGAGAACTTGAAATAAATTGATGTAATGTATTGGTCCACCTTACCACCAAGGCTATTACTGTCATCAGCTCATTGTAGTGGACTGACAATCTGGTCAGCATTTTTGTTTGCAAAAATACCTCAGCAGTTTACTGTACAGTGTAGTACAGAAGTATTTTACAGAAATTAAAATAAAAAAAATTCAAATTAAATCAAAATTAAAAATTTTAAATAATGTGGAGGATAAGGTAAAGGATGCTAATGCAAAAGGTGCAAAGTCATCCAGGCTTGCGGAAATATACAGGCAAAGTAAGGTGAAATGTTAACAACTTAAATATGGCACTGAAGCATTTTTTACAGCATGTATTGGTCCACCTTAGCACCCAAAAGGCTTTTCACAGTAGTTAGACCAAGGCTAATACTGTCATCAGCTCATTGTAGTGGACTGACAATCTGGTCAGCATTTTCGATCTCAGTGTTCTCTTATCCAAACATTCACACTACTCGGTCTTACTGAAATGCTGGGTTGTCTTCACGTTGATAGTTTCTTTTTAAAAAGTTTTGTACTATGGAGTATTAAATTTTAAGGATAAGCATGAAAACTTTGTTCCTCTATGAAATCCCTTCACACAGCTCGTTTAACCAAGCCCTGTGTTTGAGGATTGTGACGACAACCTTCAGCAGGGATTGTTTCACACTGTAATGCTGGGATCGCTGCTGTCCAAAACATTAGCCCAAGACTAAGCACACGTGAAAAACCTGCAGTGTACCTACCAGCTGAAACCCAAAGTACATCATTTATTTCTAAAAACACATCTTCTCTTGTAGGTAAATTTGAGGGCTATGGTGAGCATATTGAAGCGAGAAATTCAGCTGCCTGCAACAACTGAAGTAACTGGTATTATTTCCCTTCATCAGTGTTGGTCATCTTTTGATATAAGGACAGATACACAATAAAAGGAAAAGAAAATACTCAAATACTCAAATAAAATAGAACAAATAAAGTCCAAGAAACATAAAGGAAACTTAAAATATTAACAGATACTGACAACCGATCACTTAATGTAGAAAACAGGATTCAAAACAATATAAGAGTAATAGTTGTCCTGTCCTGAAGACAATCAGTCAGTTCCTCAAGTGTGTACTGTGTTCTGTCTGGGCACTTTTGTTCAAAACCAAAAGCAGAGCCTGGTACAGTTCAGAGTGAAGGTTTAAAATGAGGTCATGTTTTGACCTTTGACCTGTGGTTGTAGAATCGCTGTGTGCAGTTATCAGTGTTCGAGTTGACAGCATCACTGGAGTCAGAGGCAGGAGGAGGAGAGGTCTGAAAAAAACAAACAAAATCCCCTTCACTTTAACTCTGTAATCCTGTGCTAACACTAATTCTGTGCTTTTCTATGTTGGTCAAACATGGTTTTTAGTTATGGGGCAAGGAAATACACCGTTACCTCAGGGAAACTTTAAAGCTGCAGTAAAGATAAAATGATGATCTGAATGTGATGACATCTGCTGCAGCTTGCTTCATAGGGCTGCAGGACTTGAAGGATCACCATTAGTAGGACTCTGCTGAGCTGCACTAGCTACACCGTGGATGAACAGACAGTGACTTGAAGCAGGAGAATGTAGCTGGTTCAAAACAGGAAATAAACAGAAACATTTGTGTTGACAATCTGTGAAACTAAACACGTTGAATAAATACACACATCATTACAATGAATACCTTCAGCACTGCAGCAGAGCAAAAAATATTTCTGTCCAGAGCAACTTCACCAAGTCTGCAGCAGCAAAGAACACAGAGAGGCTCAAGGCTCAGGGTGGCTGCATGATGTCTACCTTTGGTGCGTTCAGCTGCCTGAGTGTCTAAGCTGTTCTTCCTCTCTTAACTGGCTTGAAGAAGACCTGGGGGAAAACACTGCTGTTAAAGACGTCACAAGCATTAATACAGCAGCTAAGATAACTAAGAAAAAATAAATGAGCACAAGTTCACTGAGACATTACCTCAGACTTTCTTGAAGAGGGGTTTATCTCTTGGAGGTTTAGCAGGAACGAGCCCAGTGAGTGACAGGTACTACAGCATCAGTTCTGCTTCAGTCTGGTGTCTGGTGGTCATTGAGAGCTGCTTCAGGACATCTGGAGCACGAGCAGGTAAAACACATGTTTGTGTAGTCCATGAGAGAAGGGTCCCGGTGAGTGCTGCAGTCTGTCCAGCACAGCGATGATGGTTGTTGAGAGCAGCAGGGGGATGGTGTGGAGGATGTCATCTCTTCTTCACCTCCGACCAAAGACTGGGTTAAACAGCAAGTAGACTGTGTCTTTGAGTTGTCCAAAGTGATGTGTTTACTTCTGGTTGACGGTTTGATAATTTTTTTCTGCTCACAGTGAGCTAGTCAGGACAGCACTAATGGTCAGGTCAAAGATGGCAGAGACAACTGAAGAAGAAATAAAACATACCCAAACAAAAGGAAACTTAGCTTTACTCTACTGTACCTACAGGTGATGTGTTTACTTTTGGTTGACAGTTTGATAATTTTTTCAGCTTACTCTGAGCTAGTCAGGACAGTACTAATGGGGGTCAGGTTAAAGATGGCAGAGACAACTGAAAAAAAAAAAAAATGAATACCCAAACAAAAGGAAACTTAGGTTTGCTCTAGTGTACTTACAGCCACCCATGCTAAGAGAGTGGTGTAAAGTTGGGTGGAGAAAAGGGGGGTTTCAGCTGGTAGGTCACAGAACATCAGAAAGTGTGTGTTCATTAGGGAACACACACTTTCTGATGGAGGTTTTTAATTTTAGCTGCTGTATACATTATTGTACACAGCAGCTGAGAGTTTTGGCCTGTGCATTTATCAATCCGCACCCACCCTCCCTATGTCCAGTCAAGTCAAGTTAAAAGGATTAACTTGACTTGACTGGACTTGATAAATGCACAGGCCAAAAACTGTAATTTATAACATTTGAATAGTTGGAAAATTTTACAACCTGAAAAATATTTTCTTTCTAAAAATTCTGAGCCATAAAAATATTTTTTGCACTAGTAAAATTTACAATGACCAAACACATTTCAATCTGTACTGAAAATATGAGCATAACATTAGCCACAGCTTCTGTAGTTTGTCTTTCCCTTCAGAGCAGTTTCCTCTACGACCTGTTGGATGAAATGACACAGTAAGTGGCGTTGTGGTAACTGTAGTATGTCTGCACGATACCTGAGGAGAGACATAGCTGAGGTCGTGAGATGAAAATCGGGTCCAGCAGCGTGTTCTTGTCCGTTGTGCCAGCAGTGATCAGTTGACCATATCCCTTGGACTGAAAGAAATCCAAAATTGGCTTACTTGCATTAGAAAAGAGATTCTCATTGAAGTCGCCACAGACAATGATAGGATGACAGTCCATGATCTCAAGTGAGTCCAGAAGGCTTCCCAGATTGGACAGGAATGATGGCACACTGTAGTCTGGAGGTCTGTACACAGCTGCAATCAGAGCACTTACAGGAGATTCAACCTTCAAAGCCACAAACTCAAGGTCAGTCACATTATTCAGGTACTGTTTCTCCACAACCTGCAAATGGTTTTTCACATAAACAGCAACTCCACCACCTCCTTTACTGGCCATCTGTGGAAAGTTAGTGTAGGACAAATGTCTGTTGCGTTTGAACATGGTGTAGCCCTCAAACTGGAGACTGTCTGCCACAAAGGAGCCCTGTAAGTGAGTTTCTGTCAGACACAAAACATCTGCAAGACACAGTTCATGATGGCTTTTGATGTCATTCACATGAGCAGGTAATCCTTCGGTGTTGTGATGAATGATGCTCACAGTGTGCTGTCTGCTGAGAGAATGCTGGATCTGGAGAAAAGGCATGAGGTGATCAAAGTTAGCTTGTGTCATGGTCTCCAAAGATACAGTGACTGCAGGGTTAGCATGAATTTTACTGTCATCCAAATCAAGCATGTGCAGTCCGCTGAGAGAGGTCACTCGACTGATAGCTACGTAGGCCATGCCGGACTCAAAAATGTGCTTCAGAGAGACAACAGTTGATTTTCTGGTCATACCTTGAACCTTGTGTGTCGTGCATGCAAAGGCAAGTTTCACAGGAAACTGTCTGCGTACCACTCCTTTCTGTTGCAGAGCCTCCTCAGATCTCTCGATGTACACAAGATTGTCTCCTCGAGTACGATAGCTCCTGCCAGCTGTTTCATCATCCATCCTGAGACCAAGCATAGTGACAAGAGCAGAACTGTTGTTTTCAGAGCTTATGAGACGGCCTACTGTAGCAAATGATCCGTTCACCAATCCTTGAGACACATCTATGTTTCTGGTAAGCATGACTCTAGCACCTACTGCAACATCTAGGGTGTCGGGTAGATCATTTCTGCTTCCATGACATGGTGCACCTTGTCTTTTCATGTGTCCAGTGTGTGGGTCTTTTTTAAAGTCATCTGCATCAATAGTGGTGATATCAGAATGGAGCAGAGATAGTGTAGCAGAGTTGTGTGCTGCGACTTGTTTGTTTGTAGCAAAAATGTGCAGGACATCAGAGGGACACAGTTGTGGTTCAGTGACACGCTGTGACAGCAGAGCTCTGTCAGCTTCGGAAAGCTCATCTGACCTTGTTTTCACACGGAGTCTGTTCAGCATCTCGGCAAAAGTTTTGTCATCCTTCTGTCGCATGATCTCATCTAAAGTGATCACCTGGAAGTTGTCTCTCCAGAGGTCAAGCTCACTTGGATCATAGACACAGAGTGGTTTGGACTGTCGCACAGGCGGTAGCTGGTAAAAGTCTCCCACAGCAATGACTGACATTCCTCCAAAGGGTCTGTGGCTGCCTTTAATCTGTTTCAGTCTCATATCCACATAGGCAAAAAGTGGCTTTGACACCATGGAGATTTCATCAATGATGATGATTTCAGCGTTTAAAAGCTCACACCTGATTTCATCAAGTTGGTTCCCAAGACCTTGAAAAGGAGGTTTCAAACTTCTGGGCAGCTTGAGGAGAGAGTGCAGTGTTGTTCCAGAGATGTTAAAGGCTGCAGTTCCAGTGAAAGCAGTCAACAGCACAGTCGGGTTTGAGATGTCAGCTTCCTCTGCACGTCTAGGTTGTGTTCTCAGTATCTTTGATGCTTCTGAATGAATGCATTTAATGAGATGTGACTTTCCAGTGCCAGCACCACCATTTATGTAGTAGAAAAACTGCTCTGGTTGTGGTCCACAGACTCGTTTTATGCACCAGTCTCTCACTGCATAGAACACACATGCCTGTCACTGGTTCAGACTCTGATGCATTTGTCGTAACCGTGTGGGATCGATTGTAGGGGGCTCTCTCATGACTCTGGCCTCTGTAGCAGCATTTGCTTGTCTGCTGTAATCCGGTACATCCTCTTGGACATTTTCACACTGTCTGGCGTCCAGTTCATCGATACACTCCAACCTCACCAGTTCAGATTCAGGTGCCAAATTACACCATTCATCGACCACACCTCTGTTCTGTTCAAAGTCCTCAAGAGCAGAGTCAATTTCCTCACTGTTTTTTTCATATCTCTCTCTGTTTCTTTTCACAATGAGTTTCACACTCAGGGGTCGGTCAGAATACGGCAGCTGAACCACACCTCTCTCATAGAATGACTCATACGTGGGAAAATATGGTCTTTTCAGCTCATCGTCTGATCTGTATGGAAGATACAGTCTAAGCAATGTGCCGTAAAACTGCTCAGGGTATTTCTCTTTGGATATGCGGCGATACCTGATCACAGCAGCGTTGTCACTTTCTCGTCTCTGTATAAAGCCCAGTTCATTCAGCAAAGGTACCACTTTTTTGCCCTTGGTCTGTTTCCCATACACCAGTCTGCAGGTAGACGCAAAATCAGCCATGCACATCTCTTCAAACTCTGGTGATTCAGGTCTGGATTTGTACTTGTCTGTTAAGGATGTCATCCACACATTCAAGCTGTCTGGTGTTGTGTTGTCAAGGCTTGACACAGGCAGACTCATTTTCACTGGGTTGTCATCAGTTGGGACAAAAACCACACTGCGTGAACTCTTTTTCATGTTCAGTGAAGTCACTCGGGCAACAGCTTCTTGTGCTGATACTTCTCGCTTTTTGGAATACGCCTGCATGACCGCTTTCATTTCATCACATTCATTGACACATTCTCTGTCGGAGTTCTGAATGAGTGTTTGCAGGTACTGGCTCACAGAGTTCTCACTTTTACACATGTACGTACATATGTAATGGATCAAACTGTAGTAGCTGAGAATGAACTGCACATCAATGTTTGCATCCCAAGCTTTGAGCAGGTGAGGGTTGTAGGTGTTTACCCAGCAGTCTTTAGGCTCACGCTTCAGAATGATGTTGCTGGACTGACTCATCACATTCATGTGTTTCTCGTACTCATCAGCGGTTAAGTCACAGACAGACAGGAGCTGTTGAAAACTCAGGGATTCAGTTTGTGTCTCATTCAGCAGCTGATTCAGTGGTGCAAGTTTCTCTTTGGCTCTCTTAAGTCTCTCTGACTCCTCATCATCACCCACAGGTCTTGTTATCATTGTCTGTCTGGAGGGTGGTTTTGGGAATCCAAATCGGCATCCAGAACTTGCACTTTTGAAACATGTCTTTGAGTGGTTCTTACTGTGTATTTGCACTTCTTTGACCTTTTTGTACAGTTCAGGCTGTTTGTTTGGGTCAGGGAGCTGAGCAGAGATGTGTTTGGACACAAAGTCACACACAGTTTTGTCAGAGTCTCTCTCAAACACAGGTGCACCTTCTACCCACAAAAGACCATGTATATGAGGACTTCCTCTGTGCTGAGACTCGAGACGCCAAAAGAAGTCAAAAACTTTGCCCAGGGGTTGTGCAGGAGACATGATCAGATCTCTGTACAGTGCTTCAACACGCTTATCAAACATGCGCATCGTTGTCACAGGATTGCTTCTCAGAATGTCACACTTTGTGGACCAGTCGAGCTCTTCAAAATTCACCTCCTCACCTTGTTGTAATTTTATTGCAATAATCACCTCAGGCCAACGCATTTCTGCTGCAGAAAATGTGACAAAGAAAGTAGGACTGCCCAACTGTCTGATCATAGCAAACAGATCTTTTGTAGTTTTGTCCCAGTAGGCTGGTGTTCCTCTGAGCGGCTGCATAAATCTGATAGCATCTCTGTTTCTCACCAGTCTCTTCACTTCATATTTGTCTCTCAACATTCTGGATGTTATTTTACGTCCGTCTCTGGTCAAAGGTTTGCCTTTGCGTAACTGTATGGACATGCTGGAGGTAGCCAAGTGTATTTCAGTCACAAACTGTGCAAAGAACAGGTAGTTGGTATCTCTGGCAAAGCGATCATCAACACCAAAGAGCCTTGCTTTAAAATAACTACTGGGTGATAGTTTCATGGGTCTGTTTTCATCCAGTGTATTCTCACCAGTGGGAAACTGAACAGGGAACGCCATGGCCTCTAGTTTGGGTGTTTTGAAAAAACTGACTGGACTGTTTCTCTCTGCTGGAGCTACTGAGTATGTAGAGTCACTGAAACACAATATCTCCTCAGAAACATCACGTGGCTGAAGGCACGACTCCAAGACAACACCACCATTATGCATGTCTGCGTCCTGTTGTTGTGTCTGATCATCATTGTCCTGGGTCTGACTTTTATCACACAGCTCTGTGTTTTCCTCAGTTTCAACATTAGTTTCAGCCTCATACATGGCAGCAGCCTCAATTCTATCAATTTCCATCAAATCCTCATCATCATAGTCGTCATCATTCATTGTAATATCATTACCATCATCCTCATCCTCATCCTCATCCTCATCCTCATCCTCATCACCATCATCAGGAAGTGTGGGGTCACATAACTCCTCCTCATCTCTAATAGTGATGTCTTCATACTGGGGGTGTATCTCTTTCAGTTTATGCAGAGCCTGCACTAGCTTGGACCAGGTAACAGTCTGAAACAGATGGTGACCTCTGTAACTCAAACGTCTCTTCAGTTTTACTCTCATCACCTGAGATTCATTTCTCAATCTGGGTAGAGCCTGAATTGTTTCCTGGACTTCAGAGGGAACACATACAACATTACCATGTATAGCTCGCTGTCTGCCTTTGGGAAGAGGAATTATTTTGGCAAATGTTATGCACTTTGCTATCAGATGTCTCTCCAGTATGTTGAGGTCACACAGCTCAGGTGGTATGTCAGCAAGCTCCAAGTTATTAGCTATGGCAAGTTTGGGCATGGCTCCATTTTTCAGATGGTCATGACAGGTGTGACAAATCCACTCAGTCTTTCTCTCATCAGGGACAGTGCACTGATTTCTGCAGTCATCATTACAATCATGGACGTACTGACCTTTGAGACAAGCTGAAACCAAGACTGGATTTTTCACATAGTTGGACCTCTTGCACTTTAGCACCTGGTTTGGAAATGAGGCATTGTGGCAAACTGTGCAAACATAGGTGGGACCAGCTTTAATGTGTAATCTGAAAATGTTTATGGCACTCTCAATCAAAGGGTTTTTACTCTCTCTGTCAGTCTCACATGTTTGTTTACTTATCTGTTTGTATTTCTTTAATATTTTTAATGCACATCTTATTTTATACATAGTCCTGTGTGCAAGATTTGTCTTATACCTGTCTCGCATCATTTGTCTCATTAGCTGTCTGTGTCTGTGATAGAATATTTCATCCTTTGCATATCGATGATTGATATATGATCGCTGTCTTTGCTGGAAATTCACGTCCTTTGAGTATCTCCTTGTAATGTATTGTTTTTGTCTGGCTTTAAATTCCACATTTTCACTGTATTTTTTGGTGATATATTGTTTTTGTCTGGCTTTAAAATCAACATTTTCACTGTATTTTTTGGTGATATATTGTTTTTGTCTGGCTTTAAAATCAACATTTTCACTGTATTTTTTGGTGATATATTGTTTTTGTCTGGCTTTAAATTCCACATTTTCACTGTATTTTTTGGTGATATATTGTTTTTGTCTGGCTTTAAAATCAACATTTTCACTGTATTTTTTGGTGATATATTGTTTTTGTCTGGCTTTAAAATCAACATTTTCACTGTATTTTTTGGTGATATATTGTTTTTGTCTGGCTTTAAATTCCACATTTTCACTGTATTTCTTTCTGATATATTCTTTTTGTGTGCCTTTAAATTCAACATTTTCTTTGTATTTTTTGGTGATATATTCTTTTCGCTTCAGTCTGAAGTCTGAGCTTTCCCTGTATCTGGTTGTGAGCTTTTGTCTTTTCTTTGTCTGTATTTCAGGATTTTCAGAATATTTCTTACTTGAATAAGACCGTTTCTTTGCTTTATATGTTTCATCCTTAGCATACTTTTCTCTCTCTTTTATTTTTTTATCCTTTTTTCCTTGTGATGTCTTTTCAGATGCCACTTGTCTTCTGTTATATTTTTTAATTTGTTGTTTGTTCCTTTTTGACAGTTTAGTGGAGATGTCGTGGAGGACATTGTCACTGGCAACAGGGACATTAATCAATGGTTGAGACAAATTTGATTGTGTCTCATGAGTTTCCTCTAGTGTGACAGACTTATTGCTGATTTGACCTGCTTGATGAGCTTGAGTTTCCATCAGGGTTGAGAGGTCATGACAGTCATCACTTATAGTAGCGTTAATTTCTGGAGCAGAAGATTCAGGACCAGTTAATGTGACAGAACACTGGCTGAAGTCGATCAGTGGTTCTGGTTCAGTTTCCATGTCATGTTCAGAGTTTTCATGGACATCAGTGTTCATCTGTGGGGCACTTGTGTCATCATTTATCACAGTGGTTGTGACAGAGGGACTTGTGGACGGACTTTCTGTGGCTGGGATAGCATCACTTGGGTTCACATCACAGAACACAACTGGCTTGAGCTCATAGCGACAGGACGCTGCTGTGCCCAATATGTGGTGATACCTGATGAGCCTTTGAATCATGTCACTGAGGCGTGTGAATGTTACCATGACAGCGGTACCAGGAGTAGGTGTGGCCTTAAGCAGAGGCAAACCATTAGCTGTCCGAGCATGTGGGTCAAAGAAACCGTACCTGCCATCTCTGGTTCTGAAAACTGCAATGCACAACGAAGTCATTAGCAGCAAAGCATACTGCACATCTGATAATAAGCAGCTCAGTCCCATCTCGAGGTCCAGAAAGGTATCAACAGCTCCGGGATCCGGATCTCCAAACGTACCGTATCTAGACAGCTGTAACTTGTCAACAGTCTGCACGTGTCTGCGGGCGGGAACCTGGTCAGGTAGCTCATCGGTTGTCAGATGGGCGTGATCAACAGTTTTTCTGATTTCTCTGTACATCGCATCACCTTTATCCAAAACACGGTCCAGATCTGCTCTGGTGATGTGTTCTTTCTCATACAGGAATGCTAGAAATGTCAGTGAGTTACAGGTGCACTGCTGGTTTCTGGATCGGCCGTATTTCAGAGACGCTTGGCTGCGTGACGCACAGACATTTTGTTCACCTGACTGATTAACAGCGTTAACATTTCTTGCCTGAGAAGAGGCTGATACAGACTGATAATTACGGTGGTTAACTGTGTCTGGATACGATACCTGGGTTGAAAATGGCTTGTCAGTTTGGGCTATGTAGTTTATCTGACGAGAGTTGGAAGGACCGGCAGTACATGACACACGAGGAACTTTTCTCTTCAACATGTCTGCATATGTTACCTGTTGCGCACCTGGATCATTACTTTCACATCTGTGGTTTACCTGTTCAGAGTTAGATGGACCTGCTGCAAGTGACTCACTCACATCTGCATAAGATGCCTGTGGTTGACATGATGCACTTGGACCTCCCTGTTTCACAGCATCACACACTTCAGACCTCTTTACCTCTCCACTACTCTGAGGAACACCATCTGTTTGTCCAGTACTCACACAATCAATATCACGAACCCTCTGCCAGTGCTGGTTTACAGCCTGTGACTTCTTACTCTTCCTTGGCATTGTAACTATTCTTTCACAACAATGTGTTTATGCAACAATTAAAAGTTAATGACAAGCACCAGTAAAGACAAAAATGCTTTATTTCTTCAAGAGGATGTTATTTAACAGCTCTTATAGTCTCCAAAAAATCTAATTTATAACTGTGTGTATACCACAATAGTTTATCAAATGTTTTATAAGAAAATCCTACACAAGACTATATAAATGTTTTCAGAAAAAACACAAATCAACAATTTTTAAATCTTAGAACTTTGTGCTTGAAATAATATCTAATTCAAATATTCTATATGGATTTTTTTTTTTCCTTTCAAAATCAGGGAAACAGATGTGGTGGTGCTGATGACACTTCTGGTGAAACTCTGGATCCACAGACAGGAAAGGAGGACCTAGAACAACAATCAGACTTTTGAAAAATTAGGGATTTTTCAAAATAGTGGTTTTATTAAAAGTACGGCTTTTCAAAAGTTTGGTTTCTCAAAGAAAGGTAGCTTGTTTCAATAGGTTTCTCAAAGGTAGCTTGTTTCACTGGTTGCTCAAAAAAAAGGTAGCTTGTTTCACTGGTTGCTCAAAAAAAAGGTAGCTTGTTTCAATAGGTTTCTCAGAGGTTTCTGGTACACTGGTTTCTCAGAGGTTTCTGGTACACTGGTTTCTCAGAGGTTTCTGGTACACTGGTTTCTGAAAGGCTTGTCACAATGGTTTCTGAAAGGCTTGTCAATGGTTTCTGAAAGGCTTGTCAATGGTTTCTGAAAGGCTTGTCAATCAGATAGAGCGGTAGAGGAGACAGGAAAGTCAGAGCAGCCAAAAAGATAGGGGAGAGTGGGGAGACTGGACACGATACCTGTAAGACACAATGAAAACAAACATGAATCATTTTTTATAAAAGAAATAAAATGAACCAACATCCACCCAAAGCTAATGTCATTATTATGTGCTTTTACTTAACCCACCATATGGCTATCCTTAACTATATATCTATCAAAAGCCAGGTTGAGTCAAATCCTGGAATTGACCATTGCCCTGTTTGATAACCCATCAATCAAATTAATAAGAACTAAAAATCCAAAGTGCTCACACAAGTTTATTAAAAATGCATTTAAGGTAAGGAGAACTTTATTTTTTCCCTGAAGGGAAATTTGATTGTCTGTAGTCTCATTTGTCATATCTCAAAAAGTCATCTACTATTTTTAAAAGAATTGTAAAGTCTGATGGCTGTGGGTACAAAAGATCTTCTGAATCATTTTGTCCTGCAGCGAAGAGAAAGGAGCCGTCCACCACCTTAGGCCCTTTGGTCCATCAAGGTGTTATGAAGTGGGTGATCCATGTTCTTTAAAATAGTCTCCACCTTCCTCAGCGTACATCTCTCCACCACATCCTACACTGAGTCCAACTTGAATCCAACCATAGAGCAAGCTTTTTAAATTTAGGACCTCAAAGTATTTTACAAAAAGAGAAGAATTTTTTTTTACAAAAAATTTTTAGACTCTTAGAAATCATCTAAAGTTCCCTTTATAATGTTCATAACCATGTCCTGGTAAGCAATGATAACAATGGATTACTATGCAAATAAAATAATAATGTATTTTAGGAAATGTAATTTCCTTTACTGTGTTTTAAGTTTTCCAACTAAGTAATAAGTTGTAATGAGGCCAAGCAGCTCCATGAGCTGTCAACAGATGCAAGCAAGGTACCTTAGAAGGATAAACATGTTTGTAGATGTATAATTAAATGAATAATAAAATAAATCAATGGTGGCATAAATAATAATTATCTAATTCCATACTAAGTAACATTAGATTAGCTTGTTTTTTTTTTTTTAATATAAGAGATGCGCAACGTAAGGAATCAGAATGATAAGTAACTATTTGGATATTCATCATTAAAAAAATTACAACTCCGCAATTTAATAAAAACAAATTGCTTTCCAATGATTGGAAATAAAATGCAAATAAGTGTATTGCATATAACATTCAAGCTGTTCATGTCCAACTGTGAATATTACATAATCAAAGGGAAAAAATCGTCAAGTTAGTACATGATCTTCTAGGAAAAAACTGTATCCCATCTATGATTTTCACATTTACAACAGTGTTACAGATATATCAACATTTAGTATCAATTTAAACTCAGTACTTGAAAAATGCATCATATGTTGTACATTATCTTAAATGACATGTTGTTTAACGGGATTAAGCTAATCATTAATCCAGTTAGTTTTATTTTGTTTGTTGTCAGTCTTGGTCAAAACACTTATACTTACCAACAAATGCACTGGGAAGGATGTATCTTCTGTTTGTTTGAGACAAAAAAACACTACATTAGTGTTGCCTGACAGATAGTACATTAAAAACAATAGGCCTATAAAGAAAACTAACATTATTACAGTAGTTGGGCTAATTGAAAACTAAACAGCTCCAACAGATCACCTGGCTGTTAGCTGCAGCTGAAAATGTCACACATAATACATACTGTATTAAAGTATATATACCTCAGATAAAGTATCTTTGCTGTGGTGTTAGCACATCACCAATATCCAAATTAACAGCTTGTTATCAAAAGTAAATTAGGTACAGTAGAAGGTGAAGTTCAGTAGCGGCCAGCAAGACAGATCATCCCCATCATGAATAAAACCTTCAATAATAGAGGACCATCTAGGTCCATTCTGACACATAAATAAAGAAAAACCACTCACATTTGTGCTATACCTGGATGCTTGCTAAATGCAGCCTATATTTTAATACATCTACAATGGCTGATAAAAAGTGACCAGGAGCTAAATAGCTGACGTCTCCAGACCAGTTCCCCAGCAATGACTCAGTCACAGTAATGAACTGAACCTGTAGCAATGGCGCTAGCGTCATTAGTTAGCTTGTTAGTCAGTTAATACTTGACAATATGAGTATTCTTGTCAGTCCCATTGTCAGTAAACTCCACAGCCTGTACATCATTTGGCATGCGTTATAGTACCGCAGCGGCTTACATATTTAGGGCCCGAGCGTAGCTGCTAAGCAGCTGCGAGAGCCCTATTATTCCTGATGGATTCTTCTTTCTTCTTCTTCTTCTTCTTCTTCTTTAGGGCCCGAGCGTAGCTGCTAAGCAGCTGCGAGAGCCCTCTTGTTCCTGATGGATTCTTCTTTCGTTATTTTTCCTCCGCTTTAAACTGGAAAATGGCCCACTTCCCACTGGCGAAAACTCAGGAAATTTGGCAGGACGACCGGGCCTGGTGAAAAATTTGATATTCTGAAGTCGCCCAAACAAAAAAATGAAAAATGGCTCCATAGCGCCCCCTATGGTGAAAACTCACCTGACGCCTGTACGCTTTGTCAAAATGACACAAAATTTGACACACATGTGTATCTCAATAAGATCTACAAAAAAGTTAGTGCAGGCGTATCTGTCAAATGTACGGTTAAAGGGTTATTCCGCATTTTTTGCCGATCCGCACACATTGGAATTTCGCTAACTCCTCCGAAGGCTTTCGTCCCACTGACACCAAAGTTGCTCAGGCCAATCTACAACCCATGGCCATTCAAAGTTGTAAAAATCATGACGCTGCACCCCACGGTTTAAGTTCTAGGGGGCGCCAAAGATGACCCAAAAATCCACATTCTTAAAAGTCTTATAACTTTTTATTTTTGTCCTCACTGGCCTCCAAGTTTTCTAGGATGATGCAATGTCCAGCCATCAACACATTTGTGAAGGAATTTTTACTCCCCAAAAGAGCGCCCCCCCATGGCAGGAGAAAAAAGTCCATTTTTTCTTGTCCCCTTACATGAAAATACACATTGTTGAGTGTCACGCCTGAACGCTTTGTCATATTGACACAAAAATTGACAATCATGTGTATCTCAATTAGATCTACGAAAAAGTCAAAGAGCGCGTATCTGTATAATGTACGGTAAAAGGGCTATTTTGCATTTTTTGCCGTTTCGCACACATTTGAATTTCGCTAACTCCTCCGAAGGCTTTCGTCCCACTGACACCAAAGTTGCTCAGGCCAATCTACAACCCATGGCCATTCAAAGTTGTAAAAATCATGACGCTGCACCCCACGGTTTAAGTTCTAGGGGGCGCCAAAGATGACCCAAATATACATTACAGCAGACAAAGTAGTTTTGCCCACTGAGTGGCGCCAAAGGGACTTGTCTATGGAGTCTGAGAGTCACTATTGGCCGTTTTTGACTACTTTAGATTTTACCTTTATATTTCCTCTTGAAGTTTTTTTACCTTGCCTTGCCTGGTATCATTTTTTTCAGCACAACCTCACCTGTGTGAATTTACAGTTATTTTATCATTTTGACATACTGTATTTACACAATGGACCCAAATTCACACACAAAACATAAAATCCGAGTGGAAAAAAGTAACATTTTTACTGTGAAAACCACAAATATGTGTGATGAACTGTTTTTAAAACTTTAACTTCAAATGCAAATTGTAAACTTCAAAACATATGCAAATTTTTAACAAAGAACATAGTAATTTACCTCTATTTACATCAAAATGCAGGAAATGGCCCAGGCGTTCTTTGTAAAATTATTTACAAAACATTATATAGTCTCACAAATGTCACTTTTTATTTATGCCACTACAAAAAACATGATCTAAATGATGCATGATGTAAAACATGATGTAAAAAACTTTTGTGTAGATCCTCCTCTATGTCAGTCCATGTGTAATTTCTCCATAATTCTTTGTTTTTTGCAGCATTTTTGTTAGTGAAACTGCAGATTGTGCTGACAGTGTCTATGGCACAAAAAAAAAAAAAAAATTAAAATGCCTCATCATGAACCCCTGGTGGTCTCTGAGGGTGAAACCTGCTAACTGCTGCAGCTCTGTCAGCTTCAGTCTCCCATGCAGAGCTCGGAGCGCATGTGTGGCTCTGCACCCTTAGCAGCGTTGCTAACTCCTCAGTAAGGAAAGCCTGCTTCATGTCAGAGTCTCTAAACTCCAGAAGAAGTCGATAAAAGTCCCTTTCTTTCTAAAAAAAAAAGTCGTTAGGG